CGTGACGAGTATGCAAAGAGCTGTCACAATGCCCGCAAGAAACAGTGTCCAACGAATCGAACTTGGAGAATCAAATAAAACAAATGCCAAGCGTTGTGAACTACATCCGCGAGGAGGAGGAAGAAGAGGAGCCTGCAGAAAAAGCTCAACCGGAGGAGGAAGAACCTCAAAACTCAACTCCATCACTGACCATTCTTGAGATCATGCCACCATTTCCTAAGGCTCTAAGGGAAACACAAAGGGTAGAGAAGGACAAAGACGAAATCCTCAGCGAATGTAAGGGTAATTCAAATGTACTTGTCACGGTTGCGAATAAACCGAGAGAGTATCATTTGGATTTCTTTTCATTCACAAATATGCGGGAAATGACAGTGGAGTTAAGTAAACATTTGATACCCCCTCTCATGCCAAGATCAAAGCCCTTTCCATTGACCATGCTATTCGGTACAAATTTTCCCTCGCTCTCACAACATAAAGCAATGGGAATCTGGATATTTGATCCTGGAACGATTGTCAAAATGGGTGGTCGGCGAATTGACCTCTTCTATAAGAGTCACCGGGGTAGAAATGTGCAGAGGATGGGTCATCATGACCCGAACATAAAAGATTGAAGTAGAGAAAAAAAACGTCGTGCCGCGACGTTAACTAAAGCGCTTCTTGGGAGGCAACCCATGCAAAGTACGTTTATTTCTTCATTTTTTTTTCTTCTTTTCACTTTAAAAAAAAGTTTTTGAAGTAAAATTAGGAACAAACCCGGCCGGGTATATACCACACCCGGTCGGGTAACAAAACAATGAAGGAATACCCGGGCAACACCCCAGATCAGACGGGTGAAATTTTAATAAAACAAAAAAAAGAGCTAAAACCCGACCGGGTATGCTTGAAACCCGGCCGGGTTTTCACTTATTTATGCCTCTGGGAGTCTCTGGAAGTAATACCCATTCGGGTTTTTATATTAAAACCGGCTGGGTGACGAAAAAACGAAAAAAATATATAAAATGGCCTAATACCCGACCGGGTATCACGAAATCCCGACCGGGTTTTTGGCCAAAACAGCTACTGCCAAGCGAAAAACAGCATACCCATTCGGGTATTACTAAAACCCGACCGGGTAATCGGGAATTCAGTCCGATTTGATCCCAAATCAGCCCACAAAACACCCATTCTCTTCCCTAATCTTCCAAACTCAAACCCTCAACCTCCATTGACAATCATCCAAACTTCAAACCACTTCAATCTCAACCAAAACATCCAAATTAACCTCACATTCTTCTTATCCACATCATCCTCTCCAACCCCAAAACCTCCAAAACAAAATGTCATTTCTTTTTCTCCTCACCCTACTTTCCAAACCCACACACACAAAACCCACCAAATCCCTCAAATACCCTACAAATCGAATTCCTTAACCCCCCAAGCTCGACTTTGGAATTCACTCAAAAAAAACGAAAAAAGCACCAAAAAGAACACATATCTTCGACCACCAAGGGTACTTCTCCAACATACCCACCTAGTACAACACCCGACGTGGTATTATCCCTCATATTAGGGCGATTGGGAGTTTCTAGCTCCGGTGAACATAGTCTTGATGGCGATGGCGGTTATGGAGGGTACGACGACGATCATGGTGCCGAACACTAGGGACAGTGTTTCGAAAAAAGTGTAGGGGAGGCACTCATTTGGTATGTACTCATTTTTTTAACCTTGTAACTTGCATTATTTTTCTTCAAAAAAACAAAAAAAAAACAATAAAAGAAAAAAAAATGCTAGTTAGGTTGAAAACCCCAAAAAAATGGGCAATCTAAGCAAAAGTGGCTACAATGAGTGAGTTGTGAGAAACGAAAAATAAAAAGAGAGGCTAGGATGAAAACCTGAAAAAGCTCCTAGGCAAAATGAGAGAATGAGAGAAAAATATCTATTTATGCAAGAAGATAATCAAAAAGAAGAAGAAAATGTTGGATGGTTGTTCTGCTACTCTTGTGGTTTTGAAAATTTCATGGACATGTTTTAAATTACTCGAGACGATTAAAGCTTCAAGTGTGGGGGTGTTTGATAGGCACTAGTTGTTAGTACCTAAGTATACATTTTTATTATTGTTTGTAATGTTTATTTACTAGTTTTGTGCAAGTTTATAGTTGTTAGTTTGCATTTTATTGTAATCGTATTTCTAGCATTTTATTGTCTGTTGTAAGTTGTAGTTAGTTCGGCTATAAGTTTAGGATAGGTTTGGAAGCAAAAAGGATGGAAAAACCTGAGTTTTATGCAAAACCCGGTCGGGTATGGACTTTACCCAGCCGGGTATGAAGTGACAAAGGAAACTGCTGCAAAACTGTCAAAATACCCGGCCGGGTATCCGGCTATAGGTCTTGAAAACACCTATAAATAACCCCATTTCCCTTCTCTTTTAATCATCCCTTCTTCTATACTCTTAAGCTCATTTTAGAATAGCATTTCTTATATTTTTCTAGCTATGTTTAGTCTCCAAATGATGAGCTAAACTTCCATTCTTGGTGTTTCTCTTGAAGCTTGTTGATTATTAAAGTTGTGAGTTATTTTCTTAACTTCTTTCCTTGAATATTAATTAATAGTTCTTTCCTTAATACCATCTCTATATTAATGTTGGGGAGTGTTGTTAAGATGACAATTAGTTAACATCTCGACATTAGTTAGAATGGTATTTTCTTCCTCTATATTAATGTTGGAGAGTGTTGCTAAGATGACAATTAGTTAACATCTTGATATTAATTATAGTAGGATTCATCTTCTTTAATAATATTCTTCCTTGAATATTAATTAATCCCTACTCATATTTCATATTAATATTTTGAACATTACTTAAAAGATCAACTATTTTTGTTTCATATATTATTACTAGAAACGATCAACGAACCGATGGTTAATCATTGATGGTTTCACAAGTAAGTAACTTCGGTTTATTAATGCACGGTCGTGGTTAATAAACTTAAGAGGGATTAATTTTGTTGGTTAAACCGAAACCGTTGTGTTGAGGTTATCAATCTCAATTGATTTCATCAAGGAGTTGGAAAGATTAAATGCTACTATTAAATCGGCATAAGGCGTTGTTCTATATTTGATTAATAATAAGGGTTATTAATGAACGGTTGTTGTTAATAACTACCCTCGATGAAGTGGATATACTCCCCGATTGAGTATTCGAGAGGGAATAAGTTATAGATATAACAATGATCGACTAAAATATATCAACAAGTTGAAAGAAGCAATGCCAAGTCTTTTTTATCTTTGAATTAAACACATATAGGTTGTTCATCTTAGTTCTTAATTAAATTAAATCACTCAATCCAAATCCCCCTTTATTTACTAAGTTTCATAAAAAGAGAATTATTCCTTTCTCTGTGGATACAAACTCTACTACGCTATACTATGTATAAGTTTAGTATTGAAATTATTTTGACGCACCGCGACAAAGTGCTCGTCAGCTGACATCTCCCCGATCTCTTCCTTGGATGTAGGGCATGTTCTTTTGCTCAACTTGAAGTGATTCGCAAGTGGAACACTTACTAGTTTGGCATCATTCATGTTGAATCTCTGAAGTACTCGTTCAATGTACTTCTCTTGAGATAGCCATAACTTGCGATTCTTCCTGTCTCGAGTGATCTGTTGAGCCGATCCTAAGTCTTTCATATCAAAAGACTTAGAGAGTTATTTCTTCAGCTGGTTTATCTTCACTGCATCTTTCCCAACGATCAACATGTCGTCTACATATAGTAGAAGAGCAATGAAGGTACCGTCTGGAAGTTTCTTGATGTATACACACTCATCTGCAGTAGTCTTCTTGTAGCCTTGACTCTTCATGCATGAGTCAAACTTCTTATTCCATTGTCTTGATGCCTGCTTCAAGCCATACAAACTTTTAGATAACTTACACACAAAGTTATCATTTGAGTTCTCAAAACCTTCTGGCTGCTGCATATAGATTTCTTCTTCCAAATCTCCGTGAAGAAATGTTGTCACATTACTTTAATTTGTATTATTTTGATCACTTAATTCCAACTTTAGTTGAAGATTACTTATTCCGGCGTATTAAGTTGCCGGAGTAGCTATGTGTTAGAAATGCATGTTTTCTCTTTCATAGTATGCTGCCACATCATTTAGCCATCCCACTCAACTATACCTCTCATATCCAGTAAATTAAACACTAAAACCTCAAAGTAAAAAGACAAAACTCAGCACTTGTATCCGATCCTCACGCTCAACTCCCTGTCTCAAAGTAAAACCTCTGCCGAAGAAGAAAACATGAGATTCGAAATGGAACCCTATCTTTCTAGTAAATAGCTTGCAGAAATTGTTCATGTTATCAGTTGATTGTACGATGCCTTTGGAAATCATTGATTTTATCCAAAATGAATTAGGGTTACCTCATGAGTGCAAAAACTCTACGATCTCAAAATACCCGGAATTTTTCTTGATAAATGCATTAATGGGAGAGATTGTCTTCACCAGGAGAATTGGGATTCTTCATTGGCAGTCACTGCCAGGGAGCAATGTTTTCTGTGTAAAAACGATTTCATTTTTTCTAAAAAGAAAGCCAGAATATTAAGAGATGGGAGCTTTTGCTTTACTAGTTGTTATTTAACATTATGGTAGTATTATACTTGACAAATAGACTTGATGTCTGCTGCAATATTTTGGATCGAGAGCCTGTTCTAATTGCTAAAAAGCAGCTTAATTGCTAATTTAACCCTATGTAAGCCACCAAATTATTCTGCTTCTGTATAAAATTTTGCTTATATGGTGGAATTGGATAAACCCATTGAGCAAAGCACAACTGCCCAAGTATAGGTTTTCAATTCTGAAATAGTTATATGCTCAGCATCATGAACTACCCAAGTTTTCATCCACCTCTGGTTCCCAAGTTTAGTTTTAGAGTTTTTATTGCTCTCCAGTTAAAGAGTTAACTTAAGGAATAATTAAGAAATTGATCAAACTATTTATAAAAAATACGATAGAAACAAATTATCATTGTAGAAACTGAACTAATTAGTAAACATGTATTTCAACCCAAAAAAGGGTCACAGTAAAACACCACAAGTGTAAAAAACAGTGTGATATGCTTCACATATGAAGCTAGACCAATACAAAATAGCAGGAAAAAAAGTATCCAAAACTGAAAACCCAAACTAGGGCTCTTGATCTTGATTTAATCTTCTTTAATTTGGTAAAGTAGTGCCCTTTTATTTCTCCTTATCAGCACCAGCACCAGAAGGTAAAAAGCTTGGATCTTTCTGAAATGTATATTTATCCAAGTCACAAAGCTTCACATACCCTCTCGGTTTTGACAATAAAACCCCATGTGGGAGTGGAACTTTTCTTCGTTTTTTAAAAACCACATCTCCCTCCTGCAATTAAGCAAAACCAACATATAAAAAAGAACCTCCTAAAGTTTAAGCATTTATATTTGCATCCATTAGTTATACCTTAGTTCGTAAGAGATTTGTATGATCTGTACGCTCAGATTCTGGAGACTGAGAAAAATTAGATATGCAAGGTTGAGCTTCTGGATTACTAACTATATGGTTACTATTCATTCTTCTAGGCTGCAATATACACATTCAAAACACACAATGAAATAATGATACTGCCACATATATACATGAATTGTTAGTACCAACAACTTACTTACAACTTAGGTGGTCTATTTACTTTAGGTGCATTTTGAATCACACTTCCATGAGCTCTTCTATTATGACCTCTTTCCCCACAGATACTACAAGTGATAATAGTCCCTCTCTTAGAGACTCTACTTTTTGCTTTCACACTCGTTTATTCTTCAGGATCCTTTCTTCTTAATTTTGCTTTTCTTCCCCTTTTAACTTTAGCAACTTTTGGTGGGATATCAGGAGGTTGATCACTTTTAGGCCACATATCCCTTCCATTCATTGGACTAATGTAGTGAGAATAGATCTTAGTGTGTGTTTCAATGTGATAACACTCACCTACATATTTCTCTGGCAACTCATTGTTGAAGTGAATAGCCACTATCCCATGTACACAGGGGATTGAAGTTAATTGCCACCTTCTGCAGCTGCAAGTGTGCTCAACTATATCTACTACAAATTCACTCCCATACCCAGAAACTTGAAACTTAGAATCCCCAAACCACTCCGGTGTAAACATGAAACATGTTTCTTTAGCTTTATCTAGTTTTTTTTTGGATTTTGGGACATAAAATACCATGCACATTCTTCATTGAATCTCTTCTTTGGTGAACTCTTCGCATTAGTTTAGTCCTAATCGCTTCCAACATACTCACAATTCCCATTTCTCTAGCATGTAGAATCATAGCATTGAATGACTCGCTTAGATTATTCAGAAGCATATCACACTCAGGATTACTTGAGAAATGGGATCTTGACCATTCCCGCGGATTCTTCTTGTTAATCCAATCATACGCTTCTTTGGATTTTTCAGCAATGTGTTTCATTACCTTCTCAAATGCACCCACATAACTTTCTTTCGCAGCTTTCCACAACAAGTCCTTCAATTCTTTTCCACGAAACATCTTTTGAAAGTTTCTGATCATGTGTTGAACACAAAATCTATGTTCAGCATATGGAAATAGTTCTTCCAAAGCAGGTATAAGTCCCTGAAAGCATATGGAAATAGTTCTTCCAAAGCAGGTATAAGTCCCTGAAAGCATATGGAAATTAAACTTGAATAGATAATCAATATATATAGTTGAAAGTTGAAACATTTATACAAATTGAATGGATTATAATTAAGTAAGTACATACCTTTTGTCTATCTGACATGAAACACCAATGGTTGCTGTTCTGAATGTTTAGGTCTTCAGCAAGTAATTCTAGAAACCACCTCCATGTGACCTTCCTCTCTCTCTCAACCACAACATATGCAATTGGATAGCTACAATCATTTGCACCTATCCCAACTGCTGCAAGTAGTTGTCCGCCATACAAACCCTTAAGGAAGCAACCATCTAGGCATATCAAAGGCCTACAATCTGCTTTGAAACCCTCTTTTAGTGCACCACAACAAATATATACTCCTTTGAATACTCTATTTTCTAAGTCCAACTTCACAGTGCTCCCTATGTTAGTCCTTGAGAGTTCATCAACATATTCTTATAAAATTGCATATTGGCTTGTTTCGTCACCATCAATGATATCCAAAGCTTTACACTTAGCCCTCCATGCTTTTGCTTTCGAAATCTCTATCTTCTGTTGTTCTTTGACCATGTTAATGAAACCTTTTAAAGACCAATGTGGATCAACTCTAAATTGATCGCAATATGTATGAGCAAGCCAATTAGATGTGAGATGTTTAATTTTTATATCCTTTGAGCATTTATGGATAAAATCAACACTTTTGATCTGAACAGTAGATGGGTCGGTGACCATTGGAGCAGCCCATATATACCATGGACAACCTTTGGAGCATATTGCTTGGCATCTTTTTTTATCATTTGGACTAAACTTGATTTGAAAAAGGTTTTTTATAGACCAATTTCTACAAGCGTCCTTGAACTCTTTAAAATACCCGAACCTCATCCCACACTTAATTCAGGATCTTTCATATCCTTTTCATCATTAAACTCAGGATACCTTTGCTTAACCTTTCTCTTTTTAATTGATGGAGAACTCACTTTATCCCTTGAGTTCAAATCAACTTCCATCTCCTTATCCAGGCTCCAAATATCTCTTTCTACTTCCTTATCCACACATAGTTCAAAGATTTCATCATCCTCTCCATCTAGGATTTTATAGTCACTATATATAAGTTCTTCATAATCATCATCACTAACTTCACTGTCTTCCACTTCACCTTCAATGTGCTCCTCCCTTTCAACCTCCCTGCCTATCGTATCCTCACTATTTGAAATACTCTCACTTAAATCCTCCACATATACATGTATAACCCTGTGATCACCTGCATTCATCGCCATTTCAATCACATCCTGATCAGTTACTAATTTCTTCATAATCCCATCATCATATCCCACTTTTGGTAAAAACCAAAATAATTCCACCTCTGATGGAGCTAGATTACATACTTTTGCCATGTTATCAATCTCAATCTTTGATAATCTATCAGCGCAGCAGAAATCAAAATAATCGATGACTCCATTTTCATAAACATTGTCCTTATAAATGCCAGAATGATGAAGATAAAGTGTAAAATATTCAGAACTGGGCACTACAAAATAAATGCCAAAGTTATTATTTTTCAAACTTATCGATAGGGAATGAAGAATAAACGTAAAACATATTTAAAATATCACGTGCGTAATACATATATTTCTCTGTTTTCGTAATTGAAGTTTAAATTAATACTACATATAATAGTTTGATCACTTACAGTATATCGGAGCTTCATCTTCTTCTTTGCGATCATACCATTCCATCTTGCTGAGATTTTCAAACTGCTTCAGAAAAGCATCAGGACGTTCTTCCTTCTCAAAATCCAACTCTTGCGACAGAAGGAGATGAAGAGTTAGGGACGATATATCAACGGGCTGCAAGACTGTACGTAGGAGAGAGAAAAATTATATGCCTATTTGTAATTAGCATGTTGTGATGTCCACGCCACTTTTCCGGCAACTAAATAGGCCGGACATGATTAATTTTAACTGAAATTAAAATTAGATGATTGAAATGAAATAAATTAAAATTAAGTGATCAAATTGAAACTCACTAAAAGTTAAATCATCACCCAAAAAAATTACCCTCCATTTGTTCAAGCTCCAAGTTCATACTTGCTGCCAAGCCAAGTATAAATCGGATTGAGGTCATCTTGACAACCGGTGCAAAGATCTCATCAAAGTCAATTCCTTTCTTCTGCTGGAATCCTTTGACAAGCAACCGAGCTTTGTGTTTCACCACTTGTCCGCTTGCATCCTTCTTCAACTTGAACACCCATTTGTTTCTTAGTGCATTCTTCCCTTTAGGAAGTTCTACGATCTCATAAGTTTGATTTTTCTACAGAGATTCTAACTCATCCTGCATTGTTATTAGCCATTTTTCTTTATCCTTATGAGACATAGCTTCTTGAAAACTCTCTGGTTCTCCATCTTCAGTTAACAAAAGACATTCAGATGATGTGTACCTTTTCGATGGTATATGGCCTCATTCAGATCTACGAACAGTTGGAACCATTTGAGAAGAGATACCATCATGTGTACCTGGTGAGGTGGATTGTGACTACCCTTCCTCTACACTCTCTTCTGTCTCCTCATCCTCTTCTGATTCTAAGTTGTTTTCATGCACTTCGTCATTGTTTCTCAAGAACAATTCAGGTGCTTCATTTGAAACTTGAGCACCCTCATTTGACTTCCGAGACATTGTGGGTTTTTCAATGTCTTCTATTGTCAAATCTTCATGGAACACAACATCCCTGCTTCTCAGCACTTTTTTCTCCTCAGAATCCCATAACCTGTATCCAAACTCTTCATTTCCATAGCCAACGAAAATGCATGGGATAGTTCTTGCATCAAGCTTCTGTCTGAGCTCTTTGGATACATGTGCATACGATGAACAACTAAATACTCTAAGATGTGAGTATGTAGGATCCTTACATGTCCATAGCCTCTATGGAACTTCAAAGTTGAGTGGTACTGAAGGTGATCGGTTGATAAGATAGCATGTGGTGTTGACTGCTTCTCCCCAAAATGACTTTGGAAGTTTAGCCATATTCAGCATGCTCCGGGATCGCTCCATGATAGTCCGTTCATTCTTTCAGCAACACCGTTATGCTGAGGGGTGCGTGGTACTGACTTCTCATGTCGAATGTCATATGTTCTACAATATGCACCGAATGCCCTGGAAGTATATTCGCCTCCATTATCAGATCGGAGACATTTCAGCTTCTTTCCTGTTTCACGTTCCACCAAGACGTGAAATGTCTTGAAGCACTCGAACACCTGATCTTTTGTTATCACGAAATACACCCACACTTTCCGAGAAGCATCATCGATAAAAGTCAGAAAATATATGCTTCCACCGAGTGATTCCACCTCCAAAGGACCACAGACACCAGAGTGTACCAAACTTAACAACTCTGATCTTTTAGTTGAAGTAGAACTAAATGATACTCTATGTTGCTTACCAAATAGACAATGACTGCAAGGACCCAGTGCAACATTCTTGTCAATGTTGATAAGGTTCTTCTTCATCAAGGTAGTCAACCCTTTCTCACCGATGTGACCGAGTCTCAGGTGCCACAGATCCTGAGAAGCCTCCTCAGCAATGTTGAGGCTATCCGTACAAATCCTCAAATGGGTTGTAATACCCGAGATTAATTTAAGAGGATTAATAGTACTACTCATACTAACAGAGGTGCATCTCCTTTTAAGGGAGCTCATCACCCAAGAACTCCAAAGTTAAGCGTGCTTGCACGAGAGTAGTCTTGGGATGGGTGACCCCCTGGGAAGTTTCTCAGGGCGCGCATGAGTGAGGACAAAGTGCGCGGTAAAGGCTCGTGGTGGTTTGTGAGAACAGTACTATTGGTCTAGAGTAGCTACCTCGGGTCCTGCGAGGCCGGGGTGTTACAAATGGTATCAGAGCAACCCTGCGACAGTGTGCTGACCCGTTGAATATCGGGCGGGCACATAGCGGGGCAAGATTCTGGGGTTTGATTGAGAGTGTTAAGGGCGCAACGAGGACGTTGCGATCCTAAGTGGGGGTGATTGTAATACCCGAGATTAATTTAAGAGGATTAATAGTACTACTCATACTAACAGAGGTGCATCTCCTTTTAAGGGAGCTCATCACCCAAGAACTCCAAAGTTAAGCGTGCTTGCACGAGAGTAGTATTGGGATGGGTGACCCCCTGGGAAGTTTCTCAGGGCGCGCATGAGTGAGGACAAAGTGCGCGGTAAAGGCTCGTGGTGGTTTGTGAGAACAGTACTATTGGTCTAGAGTAGCTACCTCGGGTCCTGCGAGGCCGGGGTGTTACATGGGTTTTGTACAATGTGCCACAAACATGTCCTCGAGCGATTTTCAAAACGCCCTTTGACATTTTCCATGTGCCCCTGCTAAAGTGGTTTTCATACCCCTGTTCATCAAGACATACCACTGATAGGAGATTGAGCCGAAGGTCTAGAACATGTCTGACATCCTTCAAAGTGATTGTGCTCCCACTACTTGTCTTTATTTATACATCAACAATTCCAACTATTACAGATGAACTTGAATTACCCATCTTCACCGCTCCACAGTCTCCAACTTTGTAAGTTGTGAAGTAGTACATGTGGGGGGTAACGTGGCAGGATGTTGCAGTATCTACTACTCATTCAGTGTCCTCTCTTGAGACATGCAGACATGTTTCATCATTGGTAGTACAATACGCTACATCACCTGAGATTGTGATGAGCGCTTCACCACCCTTGTTCTTCGTTTGTGAATTGCTCTTCCCTCGCTCCTCTAGCAATTTATAGCAATTCGTCTTCATGTGACCCTCTATACCCCAATGGTGGAAGGTATAAGAAGGTTTCCGGCCATCTGATGATCTTCCCCGACTTTTGCCTCTGCTTTTCCACTTTCGTCTATTGTTTCTTTGTTGCGTTCCTTGTGATCTTCCTCGATTCTCCGTCACAAGGGCATGAGTCTGATCTGTGCTCATGTCTTTCCTCCTTGCCTCCTCATTGAACAATGCATCCTTGACCATAGACATGGTAAGTTTGCCATCTGGGGCTGAGTTGTTGAGAGTAACAACTAGTGCCTCCCAACTATCAGGAAGGGAACTAAGAAGTAGTAGAGATTTACCAGACTCTGAAGTTGACTAGTATGTTCAGCAACAAAAGTTCCACTTTTGAGCTTCATATTGACAAGGCTCCCTTTGTCAATATTGCACATGGAGGAAGCTTCATGGTTGTTGCTCTTGCACATGGAGGAAGCTTCATGGTTGTTGCAATTGAATTCTTCAAAACTCAACCTATATACAGAATGAAAACGATGGATCGTTTTTAAACAATGTCTGAGTTGAATATTTTATATGCAGTTTAGATAAATAGGCACTCGTAGCAATAAGATAGATTGTCTTTGCTCTTTTTTGAGTCATGTCACGTAAGTATTGTGTGAATTATACCTTATTTTTAAAATTTGTAAAAATAATCTATATTTTGCGTTAAATTTTGTTGATTTTACGTTTAGATAGTGCTGATTTTCCAGAAGTCATAACTTTTTATTCGTAATGAGTTACAGGGGCCATAATATATCAAATCGAAGATATTTCAGAACTCTATACTCTCAAACTTTCAGCGGGGTCAACTGACCATCCTGACCCTTAGCTCCGCCCCTGCACACGAGTGAACGTTTTTTGTGTTGCAGTCCCTCAAGATATGACTTGCATTCTGAGCCGTGCAGTGGAGTCCGCATCCCATAGGGTAGATCTGCGCCCATAACTGAAGGACCTGAGTTGTTGTGCATGGTATTGGCCGGGCGGTGCGGGGTATTATAACTTGGAGACCGTTTGGGCAGGTATCCAAAGTGGCTAGCAGAATGAGGTATTGATGTGGTAGTGACTGATGCTGCCGCAAGCCAATCAACCAAGGCAAGAGCAACACACTGATGGGCGACGTGGCCGACATGCAGATCGGTAAGTGCTGATCATCCTACGCATCTCCTTTATCCTAGGTAGTAGGCGGGACTCGGTCTTTGGTCTAGGCATCCATCCAAGAGGATCGGGCTGTCACGAGCATCACCAGAAGGCAACAGTGACCTTGAATGGGAGTTCCTTAGGTGTAGGCCTCTGGGAGTCCATTCAAGCCAAACATCTTGGGAGCCCGTGTTGATCTGCTACCCTCCCTAGTTCAAATATATGGTTGTTTCACCAGATGAAGCCCTCTTTGGAGGAAGCTCGGGAGACCTCCCGTTCGGGTTTGGATTCTATTCTCTTCCCAAGTAAAACCACCTGTGAGCCCCTCCAATGATCAATCCCCATGGAAAACTATGGCCCAATGGAGCACATGGGTAACTTTTGTGTTGACTCTCATACGCCACAGAAGTTGGTCTCTCCCCCTTCAAACGAACTGGGTCTCATCTTACTTGCTCCCTCCGGCTCCAACCTTCACTCCTTTTTTGTTGAAAATCAGTTCACTTTGTATCAAAAAATTTGTGGAATCAAGAGCTCATGAATCTTTTTGAACTAGTTTTTCACAGACGGTGCTAGTACTGTTGAGTTTAATCAAACACGATATAATAAATATAGGTATAAATTTGTATGAACTCTTGATCTTTATGTGGAAATCAGAAAGGGAAAATACCACTGGACTTTTTAGGTTAATGTCCAAGCCAATCTCATTCTCATTAATACTCTCTTCCGATTAAAATATACAAGAGCTCCCATTAATGGAGGTTAGAAGCTTCTAAACTAAGTGGAGAAGAAGAAAGCTAGGGGGAGAAGGGAAAAGGAACCGACCAACCTTTTACATGGAGGAAAAGCCTACTATTTATAGGAAAATGGGTAGGGGATAAAATCTACCCTAATGGACCAAATGGGCCTCATCGATCGGGCTCCATACTGTGGTAATACTTTGGGCCCCTGAACAGTAGTAGGCCGGGATAATATACTTCAATACAAGTCCCTTGGTTTCTTGTTTAGTGAGCGTGTGAATCTGCTCGAGAAAGTATACTCTTGCTTGTGCCCTTCATTTGTCTTCCTTGAATCTGTGTCTTCGAGTAGTCCTGCTAGATGAGTGGCCCTCTACCCCTCTAAATATATTATGCTGGCAAGACGCTCTCCCTCCCGACTGGATCGGGCAAGGGATGTTTTTCCCGGGGCATTCTCCCCCGAATGTATCAGGCGAGAGCAAATGACTCTGACCGGGGTGTGCTACCCGAGGACCTAAGGAGGCTCTCACACAAATGTCGAAGGACATGAACATGACGAACACAATGAATGTGTGTATGCGTGAATGTATGAGATGTGATGTATGAATGTATGTATGAGATGTGATGTATGAATGTACGTATGAGCACAATGTATGAGAGATGATGTCTCGGGTGTGATGTAATACCATTTGCATCACGCATGACAATGCTGAGGGTCCGGGCATGCTGCATAAAGCGGCGGACCCCATCCTAGAAAGGAATGAGCGACCTCGACCGTGTACTAGGCACGATGGCGCTGAGGGGCCTATCCTGAATGGAATGGGCGAGCCCGACCGTGAACTAGACATGATAACGCTGAGGGGCCAATCGTTCTGCATAAAGCGGTGGTTCCCATCCTAGAAGGGAATGGGCGAACCCGGCTAGATAACTCATGTTTGGCCCTTGGCGCATGATGCTCGGCCCTCAACCCTCGGCGTGGATGCTCGGCCCTCGGTCTTCGGCGCGGATGCTCGGCCCTCGGTCTTCGGCGCGGATGCTCGGCCCTTAGTCCTCAGCGGCATAGATGCTCGGCCCTCGGCCTTTGGCGCATGATGCTCGGCCCTCGGCCTTCGGCACATGATGCTCGGCCCCGACCTTTGGCGCATGATGCTCGGCCCTCGGCCTTTGGCGCATGATGCTCGGCCTTCGCCCCTTGACGCATGATGCTCGGCCCTCGCCCTTCGGTGCGGATGCTCGGCGCTCAGTGCATGATGCTCAGCCCCCGTCCTTCGGCGCATGATGTTCGGCCCTTGGCCTTCGGCGCATGATGCTCGGCCCCCGGGCTTTGGCGCGGATGCTCGGCCCTCGACCTTCGGCGCATGATGCTCGGTCCTTGGCCCTTGGTGCATGATGTTGTCGAGGCAGAGACCATTCCTCCGTTCCAAATCGTTGCTAGTCGACGGACCTCGAAATCCTCGAAATTCATCCCTCAGAACCCCTCACAATTCGAAATCCTTAAAATTGTGTATAGAATATTCATCATAGTTAACAAGAAATAATGTAAAAGCATGAGAAGAAATTTATTGGAATCATCTACTTCGTACGAAAAAAACAATAGACTAGAAAAATATTTCATTTCTAATTTTATATTAATTGATTTGGGTATCTTATACAATTATTAGAAATGTGTAATTAACACAATCTTGTTTCATGTATTAAATTTTATATCACAATTTGATAGATAAATTCAATTTCATTTAGGGAAATTGCCCAAAATAGGAGCAAATGACATTTGGAATTCTAAAAATATGACTAGTATGTTTTTCTTCCCGAAATAGGAGTTATTATTGTTATGTATGAAAAATACTGCCATGATTGAAAAATATTGGCATTAATTATAATAAATATTGTCATATTAAATGCACTGTACTGCAACTATTTGACAGTCACGGCTACAAGATGACAGTAAATACTGCCATGTTAGTCTCATTTCGGGAATAAAAACAAAATAGTGCTATTTTGGAATTTCAAACTTCATTTATGAGAGTCCAATGTAATTCGCACTGATTAGCTGACTAATTTCATGACAGATGGTAAAGATTGGATTAGTGTGGGATGCGAAAGGAGAGGGACCATTTTGTTTATATTGGAAGGATCAGAAGTAAGCATAGTACTAAAACTACTTAATTGATTTGACAAACAAAAGGACGACATACAACAGCCTTACATGTGAAGCAATGTAAAGCCAACCTTAATAAAGAAACAAAAGAGATCAAATGGAGAAAAGTGCAGCACCATGTCACGCCTTTTGCTTTTAAACATTTGCTCAAACAAAGTGGAATTAAGAAATGATTCCATGATTAATAATTGTAATAAGTACATGAGTTAATGTATGTTTTATACGCGTGATCAAGTTAGGCAATTTGACGAGATGACTTTTGTTCACCCTCCTTGAGAAGGTGATGTTCACCACCCGCCTATTTGTCTCTCATGTGGCAAGACAATACTTTATAATTTGACAATTATTTTATCTTTTTTATTTTTAATCAATGTTTTTAACAATATATATCAAAAATTTTCATTTTTACGATCTTTCATATGGTACTAATATTGTGCATGAAAAAAAAAATCAACTATAAATAGATATTTAGAAATAAATGATTCTTTTTCAATATTTTATATATACAATATTGATTACATTGGAAAGATCATAATAAATTAAAAAATCAGATATATTTTTTATAAAAATTAGATAATAAATAAAAAATTTATAGCATTTTAAAGAAAAAAGGGGTTGGAATGTCACATGACAACCATAGAGCAAAGAGGGTGATGTTCACCCTCCTTGGAGGGGGTGAACAAAACTCTGCACTCCAATTTGACCCAATAGACATTTGAGAGTTCAGAATACCAAAAAATATGAAAATTACATCAGAAAATTTGGTAATGCTTAAATTGGATGAATAAGTTTAATTTGGTAATTGGTGAAATTTTGATTGAAGAAACAGAATTGGCAAAATGTATATACTTAAGAAAAAAATCGTACTTAAAATATATCTTGTTAATAAAATATAGAACACGTGTTAAATAAGAAGAAGCGGTCCAGTTCAATCGGTCGCCAACCATTCTCTCATTTGAGGGGTCTCAGCTTCGAAACTTTGTAGAGTTCAACAATTGACGGTCGGCTTATCACCGTCTCTTGCATATTAAGGGAGGTGTTTGAAACTGATTCTGTTTTTGCTTCTTTTTAACGCAGAAGCAGAATGAGCAGTGCCGGATACATAAAAATTTGTTGTTGGGGGCACCACTAACATATATATAGTGGCGGAACTACTCTAAGGCTCTAATGTAAGGGTATTCAGGTGAACCATCGTAAATTTGAGAACAATAAAAATTAAAAGTACTTTGTATGTGTCAAGAATTAGTAAAATATAGCCCCAAATAGAAGCAAAATAATTAGAATAGGCAAAAATGAGTAAAATTTATATTCTCAAAACATGAGTAATTTATATTCACTTTTTTATGCTACCTTATTAGTAAGAAAATCATATTTTAATTTAGAATAAAAGCATAAGAATAATAAAAAAAGACTTTTACATACAATAAATATGTAAATAAACAAATGTCACATTTTCTCTAAAAATAACATGAAGATGGTTGTATTACTCTCATAGTTCTCGGGTTCGAAACTCAATGAAGAGAGTTTCAGCCCTATTTACCCCAGACTCTCCCAAACCCATGACCCCCGGGTAAAAAAAAGAATGTATTATTCTTTGAAAATGTCAAATTTTACTCTAAAACTGTCACCAAGAGTTTTTTATTTTTTTAAATGTAAAAATTCTTATTAACGTAGAATTAGGATATGATAGGAAGAGTTACTCTATTTCGGAAATTTAAAAATTATACTCTCATTTTTGCAATTTAGCTTACATTTACTCTTATTTAGAAAATTAGCCCAAATATTAAATAATAGTACAAAATAACAAAAAAAAATACTCACTCGGCTCGTAGAAGCTAAGACTCAGTAATTGTTTTTATTCTTGGCAAGAGAACATCTTTCTTTTTATTGGGGGCATTTCATTTTTTTATTGGGGGCACACCCTAACTATTTAATAAAAACATAATTTTTTAAATTAAAAAGTAAGAGTTTGTTGGGGGATAGTTTGTTGGGGATAGTTGAACGTTTGTTGGGGATGAAAATCAGTTTTCAGAAACAAGTTTACCATTTGAACTTATAAGAAGCAAATAAACACCCCATTATCAAATTATCGTTGTCACATTTTACCATTTGAACATGAACAGAGAAAGTGACGGGTGAAAATGGTTTGACCGTCAACTATCCGTCGACGCGCCTCCGTACCAAACGGCTATTTTACATGAGAAACCGAGATGATAGAGAGTAATACATAGCTCATAAAAGTAATAAATACTGTACGTTTTTCTTGTCGATCTACCATTCCATGGCAATAATGGCATTGCATAGCAGCAATTTACAAGGTCGGTAGAAGAAAAGTATTGCCGGCGGTGGAGGCGGCGGCGGGACTATACACATTACACATAGCGTGCGGCGCGCGGTGGGCGGAGTGGGCAGAGGTATACCTGGCTTTGAACCACAGTCCTCCCGACATGGAACCCGGGGACAACCGTGAACGCCGCCACCCCGGAGCAAATTTCGCCCCCCGTCACGCTCTCCATGTACACCTCTGAGAATCTAGCCCTCCTCCGCACCTGGAAAATGCTGACTTGCTGTTCATGACCGCAGGAGAAAGCGAGGCAATGCAAGAGCCAAATTCTCCTACCCATCTCCGCAAATGCCTTGAAGAAATCCGTGTCCGGGAACTCCCCGGCGTTCACCATTTTCCGTTGAGCCAGGTTTCCCGAAAATGAAAACTCCATCTTCGGATGAACCAGGCGCAGGTATTTGGTCTTCAAGAACTTCCCGAAAGGAGAATAAGAGGGAGGATAATGGTTGTCCTGCTTCAGCTTCTTGAACTGATCAAAGAAGAACTCCCCCTGCTGGCGCTGCCCCGCCCCCGCGGAAAAGCAAGGGACGTCAAACCCGTCGAACATCTCTCTGCAAATGAAAGATTCGAAGGCGAAAGCTCTGTGGCTCTTGTTCCCGAACGATACCCCGCTGTGAATAGCAGCCGCTGCTGCGTCAATGTCCCAGCTGGCCCTCTCCATGTCGCGGATTAAGTGTTTGACGAAATTCCTGACAGATCTCATGGCGTAGTGGAGCACCGTGACGAAATCTTTTGGACTCACCGAATCAGAGAACTTGACGGCGTCAAGAATGGAAGAACTCCCACTGACACTCAGCATCCTGTCCAGCGACTTGTTGCCCGCAGAAATCCTGTGGAGGTCCTTCCGGATCGAGGAAACCAGACCCTCCTTCCTCTCGATCTCCCCTTGCATTTTCTTCATAGTGATCTCATACGTCTTCATCACACACTGCTGCTCTTGAATCTCAGAAAGCATGAGGGTGACATGGGGTGGGGAAGAACCGGCCTGCAGGTTGTTGAGGTACCCATGCTTGAGGTCAGAGAGGAGCTTGAGCTCACCAACCACAGCTTGATCTGCAGCCTGAACGGCGTCATGGTTGTAATTGGGGAACTGAGAGAGCTGGAGCTCAGCATAAGCTGCCTTGAGAGAAGAAATGGTGGCGAAGAGCTTGGCAACCAAGGCCTCCAGCACTGCCTTGTTTCTTGAACTCTCTCTGCATTCCTCTGTGCCCAACAACTCACAGCACTTGAACTTTTCTTGGGGAATGAGAAGGCAAAACGCATTCTTAGAAGAGGAAGAAGAAGTCTTGAGGTGAACGAGCTTGCGAAAAGTCCTGGCCAGAAGGGTCCTACTGTTCGGAGCTGGAGTAGTGCTGGGTCGGATGGACTCCATTCTCATATATGAGGGCCGGGTTGATTGGAATGTGCGATGTGAAAATTGATGAGCCTAAGCCTAATAGAGACACGAAAAAAAGGCGTGAGTGCGTAGCAGCAAGCTAAGATTTAGCCACTGCCCCCCGTCCTTTATGGGTTGGGGGCAGGAATACATATATGCAATTGTGCGTGAGAGAGTATCGTATCAAATAATCAACAAAACTCCGGTGTCCATCCAACGGTCCAAGGGTTTTTCTTTTTATACATATAGCCTTCCTCATTTTTCTCCATCTCCATCCAAATATTAAAATATTAATTGCAATTTTACTTCTTTATTATCAAATTAAATTACAACTCTACTATTTTTTATTCTATCGACAAATAACAAAAAATTATTAATAAGATGCATAGTAGTGAGGTAGCATATGACAAAAACTTGGGCCAAATTGCCATATTAGTAAACAAAATGAGGGTGGTTTATCAAATTCATGAAAAATAACCTCCACAGACAAATTGGTAAAAAACACAAAACTCAAACTACAAACTGGTCAAGTTTTTATGAGTGAGACATTTATAGTCCTCGATTTTAGAATTCCCTACATTTTAGTTCCCTAAATATTGTGCAATTGACATTTCATGTTCTTTTACTGTGATTTTATCATGAAAAGTGGATGACAAAAAATGTCAATGAGGTGTTTGACAATTAACAGTTGATTGCTAGCTAGTAGCCAGTTGAATTAGCAGATTTATAATAACAGAACCAGTTAGCTGTTTTAACCAACCACTTTCATTAGCTGTTTGAAGTAAAAAAAATTATAACTTAGTGATGGAGTATATGGCCCAGGGACCCCCGGTCCATAGACTCCTACTACTCAAATCAAGGCCCAATAGGCCCAGTAAGCACAACAGGCCCAAATCACAGTGCCTCGAGTACCAAGCAACCGACAATACACACTGGGGGTGCCTTCGGCCCCTTGGCCGAAGGCTCCAGATACTCACAGAAAGGCTATTTTCAGCATACAAAGTTACTGGGAGAAAATGGTGAAAAATAGTAGCCCTCGGCCTTAAGGGGCCTTCGACAGGAAGAGCTCTCAGCTAATCATCTACAGCCGAGGGTACCTTCCCCGACAAGAATATCCCCTCCACATGCGTCTGGGTCGCCGTACCAAGTACAACGTCACATCCAACCGCCACATTAAATGTGGCCACATGCGAATGCCAGTGACACCCGGTTGATGTGACCCCTCGGCTGTTGGATGCATGACATGTGTCCCCGTCTCGCATATATTGCTACTATAAATAGCACCCCATTTCCCCTTTGTAAATCAGATTCGGAATACGCTTTGAACTCATATATTCAATACACTTTCTCTCTCTTACTTGCTCTGACTTCTCTCTAGTTACTACCCGCAGTAACCCTTCGGATACATACTCTCGGGTAGACTATCCATCACTTAGATGTTCGCGATTAGCTATTAAAACATAAAATGACTATTAAGAATATAAATTTAATGCAAAGACTGATTTTGAAGCTGATAAGTGGACTAAATTTGACGGAATTTTGGCAAGAAGGATGAGGGGTGGTGAGGGGATAATGGTCACGGATTAAATGTGGACAATCTGAAAGTAAGGGACTAAATGTGGAAGTGGTATAATAGTCATGGTACCAAAAGTGGAATTTTTTCGTATATATATTTGACTTAACTTTGTTTTATTTATTTTTAATAAGTTTTGTAAAAAGTTTTAAAAAGTATATTTATTTTTATTTTTGGGAAAATGAAAAATAATAATCTCAACTATTGTCGGTCCGTTACTAATAATCTCAACTATCGATTATTCCTGGGTGGTCCCAACTATACTGGTGATAGAGTATATCTCTAGAGAGAAGTGAGAGCTAGAGAGAGAAGTGAAATAATATGCTTCAATAGAATGAATTTGTAACCCCTATAACTACTCCCAAGGGGAGTATTTATAGAGAAAATTAGGGTTGGGCTCCCAAGCCTTGGGCTTGGGAGGCCCATTTACAACTGGACCGCTACTGGGCCGAATACAAAGCCACTAATGGGCTGTACAAATGAGTAAGTATAAAATCCGATTCTGTGAGGTCTTCGTGGCCGACGAGGGCGTGGCCGACGAAGGCACGGCCGATGAGGGCACGGCCGACGAGGGCACCCGGGTTCCTTGGACTCAGGACCATAATCCGAGTTGGCCCCTTTTCGGCCGACGGGGGCGTCCTGGCCGACGAGGGCGCCACTCTGTGCCTTGTGCTTTATGTTCTTCCGAGTATGTGGGTCCGGGGGCTCAGACCCATATACTCCATCAGGAGTCCCCCACTCTCTAAACTGAGACGTAGACGAAGTGAAGGAGAGTAGATTCCTATGCTTTGGTGCCCTTGGCCGTTATCTGTTCCTTGTTGTGGACGGGGGATGTTGTTTACTTGATGTCATTGTTTTTGGACGATGAGTGTCCTTCTTTCAATGGTGGCCGTTGGAAGGCACGTTTTGCTTGGGCGTTGGTGGTTGAAGTTTGTGTTCGGGCCGATGAGGCCACTGAAGTTATTCCTTGCTTTGAGGACGATGGCGTCCTTTCCTTTGGGTGGCCGATGAGGGTGTTTGCGCACTCCTTTTGGCCGTCGCCGGTTGGCCTTCGTGTTCTTGGCCGAAGGGCACGTCATGATTAATTGTTGGCGGAGGACGATGAGTGTCCTTGCCTCTAGTGGCCTGTTGGCCGTCGCTAATGACGTTATGGGCCTTTGGCCGATGAAGCTCCGTTGTGCTGCATGGATGATGTGGCCATGCTTTGTGGTCACATTCGTGTTCTTTGTAGTGTTTCCTTTTCGTTTTGCTGAGGCCGGTGTAGTCCCCCAGTCCCCCACTGCTTCAGGCCGAGAAGTGTGAGGGGTGAAGGAGTTGCTTGAGTCCCTGGCCAAAGCGGCCTCTCCGTAGTCCCCCTGAATCCAACTCTCATGGCGATTTTCTGGCCAAGGTAACCCTGTGGGAGAACCCTTGTGCGCAGATCGCTTGTAGAGAGTTATCAACAAAGATCATGACGAGGAGCCGATGGCTTGTGGGCTCTTGGGTCCTGTGATCTTGTGGTCGTTACGTTCCTGGCCGTTGCCGTCTCCTTATTGTTTGGCAGTTGTGATCTTGGCGAGCAAGTGGGACGTTGTGGGCGCTTGCTGACATTTGTAAAGCCAGTGAGCATGTGTAGGCCGTAGAGTCCGTCCTGTCAGTGGGCTGTTGATATTGAGTTTGGCCCGTTGGTGACGTGGTGGCCCCCCATTGGTGGCCGTTGGTGTGGCCATTGGGGGGGTGCCACGTGTAGTGACCGTTGGATGGGGGTTCTATAAATACCCCTCCCCCTCCGACGAGAAAACGTATTTGCATTCTGAATTTGTCGAAGTGCTGGCCGATTTTCTAGAGAGATAAACTCCCAAGCCTGTTCTTCGTGTTCTTCGTTGTTCAAGGTTAGTGTTCATCGCGATCTTCCTCACTTTTCATACTTTGCTTCCTAGGTTGTTGATCTAGTGTTAGGCGTTTGAACACCCTTAGATCTTAAGTTAGTCTCCTTAGGCCCGTAGTAGTAGTTATGAAGAGCTTGAATGAAGACTACTACCCCTATGACGACCAGCCCTCCACGAGGTCGCTTGACTACGAGGTGCTCGAGGAGTTCGAAGAGGAGATAGAGCGTTTAAGTCCCTACAAATCCGGAGAGCCGGTGGACGAGGAAGGCGAGGACGAGGAGTCCGCCTCCTCTTCAAAGAGTGAGGATGTAGGTGCGTCCCGAGTGGTGGACGGGGCGTCCACTTCTGCTGTCATTCCGTGCCCGAGGCCGGTGTCTGCCGTGAAGGGAGCAGCTAAGCCGAAGAGGGTGAGGAGGCCGAAGAATGGGCCGGGCCTCTCCTATCTGGACCTCACCAACATATTCCTGATCAAGCCGGAGAGCAGTGCGGCCGACTATCTTGTTGCCCAGATGTACGTGGGGCCGTTCGGGCGGGTTAGGGCACCCAGGCCGACGGACCATGTTCTACTTCCGCCACCGGGATACTTTGGAGTATACCCGATGAGTTTTGCTAAGGGGTTGAGGTTCCCCCTTCACCCTTTCATCATTGAGTATCTGGACATGGTGGGGCTTCCTCCGGCCTTGCTGACGCCGAACAGTTATTCCTTGATGGTGGGCTTTTTACTTCAGTGTGAGGAGCTGGGCTACAGGCCGACAACGGCCCTATTCATGAATTTGTACCAGATCGGCCAAGGAAGCCACAAGAACTGTGCGGCCTATGCTACTCTTCAACAGCTGCCGAAGAAGAGGAGCTTCACGGATTTGCCTACGTCCATTCATGGGTGGAAGAGCAAGTTCGTGTTTGTGTCCATTGGTGAGAGTGGCACCGAGTTCCCCTCTCTCGGCCATACCGGGAGGTTCAATCTCCATGACCCGCCGAAGAGCTCTATCTTGGACGCTCAGGTGGAGGCTTTCCTGGAAGGGGGGCCGAGGAGCGTGAAGGATTACGTTACTGAATACAAGATGACCGCCCTCGGTTTCTTCAGATACCACCTGTATGGAGATAAGGAGGATGACCTCCAACTCTGACCGAGGATGACCACCACATTTGAAGAGGCCGACGGCCCGGATTTGGGCATCCCTGCTGAGGCCGATGGTAATTATTTCTTCGGCTTTCTGTCTTTATGTTTTGTTCCTTTGCCTTACTAATCCGTTGTGTTTTTCCTTTGTAGATTTTGCCATGGACCGACGTTCCATAATGGCTATTGCCAAGGCCAAAGTGACCGAGGAGCTGGCTGCTAAGGCGGTCGAGGCGGCCAGACGTGCCGCGGCCGGTGGGAGCGGGGCTACTGCTGATGCGGCCCCAAAGCCTGCTCCATCGAAGAAGAAAAGGCCGACCACTGACGGCCAGAAAAAGTTAACTGAGGCCGGCCTGAGCGTCTCTAAGAAGACGAAGAGGGCTCCTTCCCCTTCTCCGGCTACTGAGGCCGGTACTCTGGCTGTCCCCAGCGTGGACGATAGTGGTCCTGTCGTGGACCTTACCGCTGCTGGCGATGCTGCTCCGTCACTACCTCTCGTCCAGGAGCCACGGACGAAGAGGGCCGGCAAAGAGATTGTCGGTGCCACCTACCAGAAGATGGTAGAATACCCCGTCGGCGGGGGTGTCTTCGATGACGTCGTCCTTGGCCACGATGTCCTGGCACAGGCCATGTCGGCCAAGGATCGGGCTTACTTGAGGAAGCTCGGGGACGTGAATATTTATGAGGGCGGCATGGACCTCCTCGTCCAAGTAAGTTACTGTCCTTTGTAAGTGTTGTTTTTCTCGTCGTCCGTGTAGAAACATTTGCCTGACT